CTCTTTTGTAATCATTTCACCTGCGGAGAATAGAGAGATACAAAATTATAACGTAAGGTTCGATAGTGAACTATAGCCGTATTTAGACCTAGCCCCTGTTTGGATTCCAGAAGGAATGGACCGATATTCCCCATCTTCGAATTTGAACTAAGCTTGGAAGAAATAATAAGATGAGCAAAGTTCGGATGAAATCTAAATTTTCTGAAACGGATTTGGTCCAAAGAAACATGGGGTCTAGAACCAATATTTCGATGAGGCACTTTTTCACCGTGTTAAAGTGTATACACACTCATTAGCCATTAGGCTGAGGGTGTAATTATCCTTTAAAAATTTCTAAAATTTTTATTATGGTTTACATAATCCCTTTTTTTGAAATGTCGGTATAGGTCCCCTTTTTGGTATGTTCCCTATATTTTTTCATTTCTAGTACCTGTCAGTATTTCTATGGTGGAGGGTATCCAAAGTTCAGCCCGGCCGAACTTACCGCTTTTGCAAATTGTTATGTTCTTTGTTTGAATAAAAAACTTCAAATTATTTTTTTTTTTTATATTTTTTCCCCAAAATAAAAACCTGTTTGTTTTTTAATAAATTTTCCATATCGTTCTTTATTCAGAATTATTTATTTGTTGTTTTTTTTTGTTTCTTTGTCAACTACAATTTAATTGTATTTTGTTTGGTTGTTGTTGTAATAATTAATTTACTAATAATTGTTCTTGTTGTTTATTTTTGTTGTTGTATTTTTTTTTTTAATTGTGGAGGGGTTAGATGTAACGGACGTTTAACTATTTTTTGTTTTCTTTGAGATGACATTTTTTTTTAATTTGAGTGGATGAACTAAAGCTAAAAAGGATAACAATGGGAGGAGTTCTCTTCTCTCTTAACATAATTGTCAATACATAATAATGATGATTAGAGTTGCCAACTATATATAAATTGCAATTACAAATGATGGAAATTCAATTGCAAGCAATGCAGTAGTTGGTTGGTTGGTTGCCGTTGTTATGTGTGGTGATCATTTTATTTGGTGTTGGCAACACCAGAATGTCATGTGCAGGTGATTTGTTGGTGTTGCCAAAAACAAATCAAAATGGTATTATAGTATAGTTGGCAAGCTTAGTTTGTTTTTATTTAAATTGGCAAATCCGTGGTTTGTTTTTGCCATGAGAAAATGGTGGAATTTTTTTTTAAAACTAATTAAAATTATTATTTTTTTTATTAAAAAATAAATATTATTTAATAAAATATTATTAGCATAACCAACAAAATAGGAACATGGTATAGTAACAAAATAGTAATATTAAACAAATGAAAAATATTAATAATAACAAAAAAAGTTTGATTAAAATTTAAAAAAAATTATTTAACATAGGAATTTGTTTGACAAGGTATATCATCAGTATATAAGCATATCATTATATTATTTCAAATAAATTATATAGTATGTGTGTGTGTTTTATTTATATTATGTATATATAAATGTATAAAACTTAATTTTTATATATTAATATTATTTATTTATTTTTTTTTTTTTTCATTTTTAGTATCATGTTTGGTTTTGTTTGGCTGAGCTCTTCAGTTTGTTTTTTTTTTGGTTTGGAAAAAAATCTCACATGGCCAGAGTGAAATACTGAAACTGAGCTGAATTGGAAAAAAGAGTTTTTAGAACGCCTCGAGGCATTTAGTAGTGAAAATATTAAAAATTAAAAAAAAAATCGGATATAAGAAACTAATAATTTTTGGAGTTCTGGCAGAAAAATGATGTACAAGTACATTTCTTATATAAAAATATGAATTTTTACAAAATTTTATATACCAAATTATGAAAAAAACGGATATAAGAACCTAGTGTTTTTGGGGGACATTTCTACATTTTTGGAATTTTTGCAGAGAAATATAGAGAAAGTACATAAAATTTGATAATTTTTCAAAGATTTGCACAAAAAATTCGAGTTTCTTATAAGCGGTTTTTTCAAACAACCTTAAAATTTTTAATAAGAAACTATTGATTTTTTAACATTTTATTTTATTCAATGAAAAATTATAATTTTCTCTGTTAATTTTGTGTCCAAAAATTTTGAAAAAGCGAAAATTTCGGATATAAGGAACTATAATTTTTTCCCAACGTAGAGATTATTTTCACTATAGTTTCATTTCTTACATAAAAATATGAAATGTTATAAGATTTTTTGTAAGAAATTATGGGAAAAAAAACAAAAAACCGGATATAAGGAACTGGTGATTTTTGGGGAAAATTTTAATTTTTGGAGAATTTTTGTCATGAAATAATGAGACGGTACATAAAATTTAATGATTTTTCAAAAATTTGCACAAAAATTGGAGTTTCTTAGTTTGTTATAAGCGTTTTTTTCATATTAACAAAATTTCGGTTATAAGAAACAACTATTTTTTCAAACATTTTAACTTTTTATGTGTTCCTGTGATAATATAGAACATTTTAGGTACAAAATCAAGTCAAATTTGCCAATTTTGCAAAAAATCGGATATAAGAAACTATGACATTTTTCCAAAAATTTTCAGTTTTTATGAAATTTTGTGATATTTTATTGCATTTCCTGTTCAAAACAAAGTCTAAATCTAGTCTTATTTGTCAAGTATGCAAAAATTCGGTTATAAAAAACTATGCATTTTTCAAAAATTTTCAATATTTATGAAATTTTTTCAAAAATGTTCAGTTTTTGTGAAGTTTTATGATTTCTAATGATATTTTCTGTTCAAAACAAAGTCTAAATCAAGTGTAATTTGTCAATTTAGCAAAAATTCTGATATAAAATTTTCAAAAATTTCAAAAAATTTCGGATATAAAAAACAATTTTTTTTTCAAGAATTGCCATTTTTATTTGTTTCCATGATTATTTAGAACATTTTGTGTACAAAATTAAGTCAAATTTGCCAATTTTGCAAAAATTCGGATATAAGAAACTATGAGATTTTTCAATTTTAATGGGATTTTATGAGGTTTAATGACATTTGATTTCCAAAACAAAGTCTAAATCAAGTATTATTTGTCAAGAATGCAAAAATTCAGATATAAGAAACTATGAGGATTTTCAAAATTTTACAATTTTTATGAAACTTAATGATTTCTTATGACGTTCGAAATGACGACGAATTTTCTTAATATAGAAAAAATTTCGCTTATAAGGAACTAGAAAAATTTTCAAATTTTTTTGAAAAAATATTTTTTTTTTCAAATTTTTAATAAGAAATTTAAAAAATATTTAAAAACAATAATAAAAATTCTTTCATCAATTTTTTTGGTTTTGGAGTTCATTCAACAAAAAATCGGATATAAGAAACTATGAAAATTTTTAAATTTTTATGGGATTTTATGATTTTTTGTGACACTTTCGATTCGAAATGAAAAAAAACGAACGACGAATTTTGTGAATATAACAAAAATTCGCTTATAAGCAACTATGAAAAATGTCAAAAAAAAAAAAAAATAAAAAATAAAAAAAAATATTTTGTTTTCAAATTTTTAATGATAAAATTCGGATATATGAAACAATGGATTTTTTCAAAATTTTTATGGGATTTTATGATTTTATTGCTCAAAATGAAGTCAAATTTCCATCCATTGTTCTCAGTATTTTTTTGCCATGTCAGATTGTGCTCTTTGATTTGAAAATTTTGAAATTATATGTCTCGAAATAACTCATAATTTTGTAATGCTTATCTCTATATTCTATCAATCAATAGAAAGTTGTGTATAAATATTTTTTTATTATTTTTTTCCACAAAAAACCGGTTATAAAAGACTTTTGGATTTTCGCATTTGGAAAAGTTGTCATAAATTCTGTTATAAGAAACAGTAATTTTTTTTTCAAAAAAAATTTCATTTTTTATGATTCAAAAAAAAAAAAAAAATTGTATTAATAATTTTTTCTATAAAAAAGAAATATTTATGCAAAAAAAATCATTAGCTTCTTATAACCGGTTTTTGGAATTTTTTTTAATTATTTTTATTATTTTAAGCTCTGAAAAATTCTGCAAAAGTCTTATAACAGCTTAAGACAAGATTTTTTTATTTACTTGCTTTTTAATAGATATTTTTTAATTTTTTTTTTTATTTTTAATTTTTAGTATTACTTTTAGATGTTTTTTTTTAATTTTTTTTTAATTTTTTTTTTTAATAATTTTTTGTATTATTTTTCCATTTTTTAGTTTCATTTGATTTTTTTTTATTATTTTTGTATTATTTTAACATTATTTTTTTAAGTTTCATTTGATTTTTTTATTAAAAATTTTTATTTTTTATAATTTTTTGATATATTTTTTTAAATTTCATTTGTATTTTTTTATTCAATATATTTATTTTAATTTTTTATTAATTTGTTTTTTGTATTATTCTTAGATAATTTTTTTTTAGTTGCATTTATTTTTTTATTTTTTTTTTATTTTTGGATTCATATTTTTATTATTTTTATTTTCAGTTTTTTTTTCATTAAAATTTTTATTTTAATTTTTTTATTATTTTTAGTTTAATTTTTTTAATTTTGTTTTTATGTTTCATTTGTTTTTTTTATTAAAAAGTGTGCTTATATTGTAAGATCCCTAAAAAGAAGAGCGAGCATAAACATGTCCACTTACGAGCTCTCAAATAGTTGTTTTTTTTTTGATTAATTTTTTTAATATTATTTTTTATTTTTTTTATAATTTTTCATTATTTTTTTGCTGACCAACAATTTTTTCTCCCTTGGGTTCTATGCTCTTTGTTGTTGTTGTATTTTTCATTTTCCATATTTAATTTGTTTTTTCTTAGACGTATAAGTAACACATACATTTTTTATATATCTTATAAAGGCAGATAGTGGACAATATGAGTGTGTGTGTGTGAGAGTGTTTGTGATTATTTCGAGGAAAAGAAAAAAACAAACGAACAAAATGAGCGAGTTTGTAGGACAAGCCAGTTCAACATCTCCATATCTCTCTCGTTTTCTCTTTCTCGTTCTCTTTGACTCTTTTGCTACCAAAGCGATTTATGATGAGGATGTGGATTTTTTGGAACGTCTTCTTGTATTGCCAGGACAACCGGAGGCACTCAGCAAATGTAGCTTCCAACCGCCATCCAATGGCAAATGGACATCGTCGTGGCACAGTGGGCAACGGGCGGCACCGGTTTTTAATTCTGAAAAAATAATAAAAAAATTATGAAATTTGGATTTCAAAATTGTGTCTGGAGAATTCATGCACACCTCTACAATAGTCCTCCATTTGATGCAGATCGTAGAGCTGTTTGTGCACCGATTCCGTACATCTTTCACACATGATGTAGTTGTCCTTAACCTCACATTCCTCTGAAAAAATAAAAAAAATAAATTTTTTTCAAAATAATTTTTTTTTTTTAATTAAATTTTTTTTTTGAAAAAAAAAAATATTTTGTTCAAAAATAAAGTCCAATTTATCATGTATGCAAAAAAATTGGATATACGAAAATTTTTTTTTCTAAAAATTTTATTTTTTTTCCAAAAATTTTAATTTTTTTTAAATTAATTTTAATTTTTTTTTTTTAAATTTAATTTTTTCAATTTTTTAATTAGTTTCCCAAACTTACTTGTCAAATGATAATTTAAGGCAGCCACCTCCAATACCTGACTACATTGGGGACATTTCGTTAGAAATGGGCATGACTTCCAATAGTGGCGATCCAGTTGGGCGGGATCGCCGCTCTGTGAGGACCAATCACAGAATGGACAGGATCTGGAAAAATACGCAATTTATTATTATAATAAAATCTATTCCTTCTCCTCCCCTCCCCCACTTCACTTACATCACATCGGCCGCCTCTTCAAACGATTCCGAATTCGAATTAGAATTGGAATTTTTTCTCGAACTACTGGCGGATATCATGGACCTCTTCAGCAGCTCATTATACTGTTGCTTGCCATTACATTTCGCATTATCCCGACTACTGCTGCCGCCACTATTATAACCATTACTTGTGCCTGGTTGATTGCCCTGAGCGGCCAATGTCTGACCACTACGACTTTTCAGAATCCTCGTTTCGGAACGACGCATTGGACTGGATTGAGAATTATCAGGTGATTTACATGAAAATCCATAGGGACTGGCACGACTATCCGAGCTGCCACCACTAGCCGCTCCACCCCCTCCCCCTCCACCCAACTGCAAATGCTCCACAGCACTACGATTTGAGGGTGGTGACTGCGGATCACTCGAACTATGACCCGCCGCATATTTATTCGCCTCCAACATTTCCGTCTTCCGTTCCAAATCCAATTTATCGAACTCGGTGAATAGCTGGCGATACAGCAGATTACGCCGCGTTATATCATCATCGGGCGGTAGCTGTTTGCGCACCAGTCGTGGATTCACTTTGTACACCAGTAAAAGTATCCGTTCGGCTACCTTACGCACCGGCTCCGCAGGATGATGTATACCCGAACAGCCGCATTCCGAGAGGGCACGACATGTCAGACCGCTATGTTTATCGGTGCTAATACCCTGGCTGAGCACCAGCTGTTCCAACATTTGCATACGACTCAGGGCCAGACGGGGATGGGTACCCGAGCTAACGGTCCGTGACAGGGCTGGCGCAACCAAATGTTGTTCAGCCACTTCGGGGCACGAAGCCATACTGAGAATGGTGTGTTGGGCTAAGGTGTGTATTCGCGCCGAAGGGTCACCTGACTTGGCCAACAATTCGGGTAAAAGGCGATCAACACAACGAGCCACCTCGCTTTGTGACACCCGTCCGGGTACATATTCCAAGAAGAGGACACGCACCGTTTCGGTGGCCTGATTGAATACCGAATAGACAGCATCACGTACGGCACGATGTAGAAGGAAGGCAGCGCTGCGGGCGACCTTATTGGGGCCGGCAGTGTTTTCGGTATTGGCCGTGCCGCCGCCGCCAGTTGCTGGGGTTTCCGTTTCCTGACCCTTGAGAAAATTGCGTAGGCGTACCAGGCCATCTTCACGATCTTGAAATTGACGTGAATAGAATTGTTCGACCTGAAATTGAGGAGAAATAAAGAAATGAGACCCTTAAAAATAATTTTTAAAAAATCCACGCCTTATAGTAGGCCCTTAAAAATAATTTTCAAAAAATCCACGCCTTATAGTAGGCCCTTAAAAATAATTTTTGAAAAATCCACGCCTTATAGTAGGCCCTTAAAAATAATTTTTAAAAAATCCACGCCTTATAGTAGGCCCTTAAAAATAATTTTTAAAAAATCCACGCCTTATAGTAGGCCCTTAAAAATAATTTTTAAAAAATCCACGCCTTATAGTAGGCCCTTAAAAATAATTTTTAAAAAATCCACGCCTTGCTGTTAGGCCTTAAAATTAAAATTTTTATTTCCCCCCTAAAAGTATGCTTCAGAATATTGAATACCTTACATTTCTACTTACCATATCATTACCAAAGACCAATATCGGCAGTGCAGCCTGACGACGTTCACGATCATTAAGGCGTGAACGGCCACGATTCGGATCGGCTTCCAGTAGGGCTGTACCTTGACACTCTCTTAAAAATTCATTAGTATTCGAACTGGTTGAGGTCATTTTGGGGTGGAGGATTTGAGTGTGTTGTTGTATTTTAGTTTATTTTTTAAGTGTAACATCAATTCGGAACATCGAAATGGAGAAATCAAAAACCAAATATTACAAAAAAATGATTAAATGGAGAATTTAAATTTAAGAGAGAGCAAGAGAGCCAAATGATTCCAATTGAAGTGATGATGAAGAGAGATAGAGAGACAGAGTTGCCATGTGATAGAAATTAAAATAAAAAAGAGATTGAAGAAAAAAACGAGAAGAAATAGAAAAGAGAAAAGTGTTTTACTACTTAATTCGGACTACCAAACGAAAATTGACCTGAGCAGGAGGATGAAGACCATGATGCTGAGGATGATGATGGCAATTCATCAACTTGTCTAAGGGCATGCATAATAATAAATAAGAGAATAAAAAGTTATGTTATATATTCATCTAGAGAGAGAGAGACAGAGAGCCTAAGAGAGCACATCCATGTTTTGATTGAGGTGGTATTGGGGTGTTAACAGGGTAGGTAGCATTACAACTAGAATCATTAGGCTAAGTATTTTTATTTTACAATATGGTAACACCAAATAAGAAAACATCAATATGGCAACACCAATTCCATTTCATACTTACTGCCTCAGTGTGGGTATGGCACGATCTTCATATTCTTCATAGGAATTGCGTGGGGCACTTTTATTGCGTCGCCTCAACGAACCCTGATGACTGGACATGGGCGAACTGTGCCGACTAGGGCTGCGTCGCATATTCAATTTCGGTGACATGGGTATTTCATCGTGGGATCGACGTAAATTGGCTGCCGTTAAGGAGGAGATGTGTTCCGATGATTTATTACAGCTGGAATTTTTACCACCACCTGCAATAACTCCTCCTCCCGTCGAACTATTACCATCCGTCGAAGATTTATCCTCCTGACAACTTTTAGGACTCATTGTGGCAGCCATATGGGCCTCAGCCAAGGCCTGGGCCACTTCTTGCAGGCTGGGTGCCACCGGCAAAATTGGCTTCGAAGCATATACCTCACATGCCACATCATTGGCGGCCAATGATTCTCCATTACGCTCCAGCAGATCATCGACCAGGAGATGTTTAAAGACCGCCGCCTTATACATTTCAATTTGCTCCTTCCTTAACTTGGCGGTGGTGAAATCCTCCTGCTGCACTGCCTGCCTTTTGGCCAATGCATAACGACCCAAACGTTCGCCCGCCGAACGTAAGGCGCTCATACACAACTTCAATTTGCGGGCATATTCAAAGCGTTCCGATGCCACCGCCTTTGCCTTACGTTCTTCCATTTCACGGATCACCTCCGCAATGGACTCTTCAACATACATCGAGAATAACAAATCATCACACATCGAAGCCAAGGGCAAATCACAGCCCTCACTTGGTTCTCCAGGCAAAGAATTGCTGCCATTTTCAGCTTCGCTCTCTTTATTAGCCGTACCACCACCACCGGAATCTAAATCTTCACCCAATACATTCACCGCTATTAAGGCAATTTGATTTTCCGCATTGAATTCATTCGGATGTGGCCCACTTAGCCGCAATTTGAGATGGGTACCCTTGCGAGGATTTACCGAAACACTTTGCAGTTCACGGGATTTGTAATTTGTTGCGGCATTATCGGCGAGTGCAACAAATCCCAGAAAATCGAAGCACTGTGAGGATGGAGTGCTCGGTATACTTTTGGGCGAATAATGTAACCATAGTTCAACTTTTTCAGCTGGAAATAAAGGAAGATATAGCAATTAGAAATACTTTTCCGAAAATGCAACTCTAAAATATCATTTAGTTTAGTCTCAAAAACATATGATGTCGATAAAACGGTTCTTAAGAGAACAGCTGTTTAGCAAACACATCACATTAGGGAGCCCTAGGTCGGTATGATTCAATAACCAGGTGATGCAATAAAAAAACATCTGTTTTTATTCGACACCTTATATATGTCCCCGAAATTTTTTTTTTTACAAAAATCACGCCTTATATATGTCCCCGAAAAAAATTATTTTAAAATAAATCCAAAAATACTCACGTATCAAATATTGGTGGGCTAACAATTGTATCCGATATATTTTGGCTGGCTTATGAAATCTCAGTACAATATCATGCGGTGTTATCGCACTATTCGGTGCACTACGCCACCCGTGTACGGTCGGACCGTGTGTATTTAATTCACTGGCAGGATAATTAGGATCCTCATCTAAAAAGAAAAAAAAAAAAACGACATGGAAACGTGTTAGTAATGGAACACACCTAATGTACATATTTAATACATGTCATGATGACTAGTTATTGATATGAAGATAACCTATAGGTAGTTTGAGCTTATCAGCTGATTGAGTTACAACAATAACAATTGTTTGAGATGTTTGACACAAATTCTCACATAAATTAATGAGAGATAAATGGAGAGAGAGGGAGAGAGAGCCATATAGATACTGGTTAATCAAGAGTTACCAGATATTGGTTATTTAAAATTGGTATACAATTTTCAATTGTTGAAAAAAATATTTTTTAAAAAATCCACATCTCTATTTTTTTTTAAATCCAGGCCTATAAAAATATTTTTTTTTAAATCCAGGCCTATAAAAAATATTTTTTTTTAAAAAACCACGACACTGAAAATTTTTTTAAAAAAATCCACACCTTTAAAAATATTTTTTTTTTAATGTACGCCTCTTTTTTTTACATCCACGCCTATATTTTTTTTTAATCCACGCCTATAATTTTTTTAAATCCACGCCTATACAATTTTTTTTCAAATCCACGCCTCTAATTTTTTTTTAAATCCACGCCTATATTTTTTTTTTAAATCCACGCCTATACAATTTTTTTTAAATTCACGCCTATACAATTTTTTTTTAATTCACGTGTATATTTTTTTTAAATCCACGCCTCTAAAAAATATTTTTCTACAAATCCACGCCTCTAAAAAATATTTTTTTTAGAAAATCCGCGCCTCTAAAAAATATTTTTTTAAAAAATCCAAGCCTCTAAATTTTTTTTTTAAATCCAGGCATTTAAATTTTTTTTTTTAAATCCAGTCCTCTAAAAAATATTTTTTTAAAAAATCCACGCCTCTAAAAATAATTTTTTAAAACATCCACCCCTCTAAAAAATATATTCTTTTAATAAATCCACGCCTTTAAAACAAATTTTCTAAAAAATCCACGCCTCTAAAAAATATTTTTTTAAAAAATCCACACCTCTAAAAAATATTTTTTTAAAAAAACCCACACCTCTAATAATTTTTTTTCTAAAAAATCCACGCCTTCAAAAAAAATTTTTTTTTTAAATTTTCAAGCCTCCAAAAAAATAATTTTTTTAAGAAATACAAAATTTCTAAAAATATTTTTTTTACAAAATCCACACCTCTAAAAAATATTTTTCTAAAAAATCCACACCTCTAAAAAATATTTTTCTAAAAAATCCACGCCTCTAAAAAATATATTTTTAAAAAATCCACGCCTCTAAAAAATATATTTGTAAAAAATCCACGCCTCTAAAAAATATTTTTTTAAAAAATCCACGCCTCTAAAAAATATTTTTTTAAAAAAATCCACGCCTCTAAAAAATATTTTTTTAAAAAAATCGACGCCTCTAATAAATATTTTTAAAAAAAATCCACGCCTCTAAAAAAATTTTTTTTATAAAAATATACACGCCTCTAAAAAATATTTTTTTAAAAAAATCCACGCCTCTAATAAATATTTTAAAAAAAAATCCACGCCTCTAAAAAAAATTTTTTTAGAAAAATATACACGCCTCTAAAAAATATTTTTTTAAAAAAATCCACGCCTCTAAAAAATATTTTTTTAAAAAATCCACGCTTCTAAAAAATATTTTTTTTAAAACATCCACGCCTCTAAAAAATATTTTTTTAAAAAAATCCACGCCTCTAAAAAATATATCTTTTTAAAACCACGCCTCTAAAATATATTTTTAAAAAAATCCAAGCATCTAAAAAATCTTTTTTTAAAAAATAACGCCTCTAAAAAATATTTTTTTTTAAATCCACGTATCTAAAAAATATTTTTTAAAAAAATCCGCGCCTCAAAAAAATATTTTTTTTAAATATTTAAAAAAAAAACGCCTCTAAAAAATATATTTTTTTGAAAAATCCACGCCTTAAAAAAATATTTTTTCTGAAAAATCCACGCCAAAAAAAATATTTTTTCTGAAAAATCCACGACTTAAAAAAATTTTTTTTAAAAAATCCACGTCTCTACAAATATTCTTTTAAAAAATCCACGGCTCTAAAAATTTTTTGTTTTAAAAAATCCACGCCTCTAAAAAATATTTTTTTTTAAAAAATCCACGCCTCTAAAAAATAGCTTCTATATCCACGCCTATAAAAAATATTTTTTTAAAAATCCACGCGTCTAAAAATATTTTTTTTTTAAAATATTTAAAAAAATATAACGCATATAAAAATAAATATAAATTAAATATAACGCCTCTAAAAAATATTTTTTTAAAAACCCACGCCTCTAAAAAATATTTGTTTGAAAATCCACGCTAAAAAATATTTTTTAAAAAATCCACGCTAAAAAATATTTTTTTTAAATCCAAGCTAAAAATATTTATTTAAAAAAATCCACGACTCTAATTTTTTTTTTAAATCCACGACTCTAAAAAATATTTTTTTTACGGCTCTAAAATATATACTATATTTTTTTAAATCCACGCCTCTAAAAACTATTTTCTTTAAATCCACGTCTCCAAAAATATTTTTTAAAAAATCCCCACCTCTAAAAAATATTTTTTTAAAAAATCCACGCTTCTAAAAAATATTTTTTAAAAAATCCACGTGTCTAAAAATATGTTTTTAAAAAATCCATTTTTTTAAAAAATCAACGCCTCTAAAAAATATTTTCTTAGAAAAATATACACGCCTCTAAAAAATATTTTTTTAAAAAAATCCACGCCTCTAAAAAATATTTTTTTTTAAAAAATCCACGCCTCTAAAAAATATTTTTTTTAAAAAATCCAAGCCTCTAAAAAATATTTTTTTAAAAATCCACGCGTCTAAAAATATTTTTTTTTTAAATATTTAAAAAAATATAACGAATCTAAAAATATTTTTTTTAAATATAACGCCTCTAAAAAATATTTTTTTAAAAACCCACGCCTCTAAAGAATATTTTTTTAAAAATCCACGCTAAAAAATATTTTTTAAAAAATCCACGCTAAAAAATATTTATTTTTAAATCCACGCTAAAAATATTTATTTAAAAAAATCCACGACTCTAATTTTTTTTTTTTTAAATCCACGACTCTAAAAAATATTTTTTTTACGGCTCTAAAATATATATATACTATATTTTTTTAAATCCACGCCTCTAAAAACTATTTTCTTTTAATCCACGTCTCCAAAATATTTTTTAAAAAATTCACGCTTCTAAAAAATATTTTGTAAAAAATCCACGTGTCTAAAAATATGTTTTTAAAAAATCCACGCCTCTAAAAAATATTTTTTTAAAAAATCCACGCCTCTAAAGAATATTTTTTTTAAAAATCCAAGACTTTATTTTTTTTTTTTTTTAATCCAAGCCTTTAAAAATATTTTTGTTTAATCCACGCCTCTAAAAAATATTTTTTTTAAAAAATCCACACCTAAAAAATATTTTTTTTAAAAAATTCACACCTAAAAATATTTTTTAAAACAACAACGCCTTAAAAAAAATTTTTTTTTAAACAACGCCTCTTAAAATATTTTTTTTAAAAAATCTAAAAATTATTTTTTTAATATCAACTCCTCTAAAAACTTTTTTTTTAAATCCAATTCTCTAAAAATTATTTCTAAGAAATCCACACCTCTAAAAAATAATATTTTAAAAAATCCACGCCTCTAAAAAATATTGTTTAAAAAATCCAAGCCTCTAAAAATATCTTTAAAAAAATCGATTTACTAGATTTTTTTTTATTAAATCCACGCCTTGTTGGTTACTCGAAAAATATATATTTTAAAAAATCCGACCAAAAATCCAAAGCCAATTTTTTTTCTCTACCGGCATCCCTTTTATTTTTCTCATCAATGTGTTACTCTCTTTCTCTCAATACAAACCAAATACAATTCTCATTCACACAGATACACTCACACATAGCTGAATACCTGTATGTCAAAGGTTGACTGGTTGAAATTCGGAAAAAAAGTGTTAGTCTGATAATATTTATTATCTCAGTAGGTTGTTCGGTGCCGGAAAGTCAAGTTAACGATAATTATGACTGAAACGAAAAAATCGAAACCAGCGGCCACTAAGCCCAAAACCAAAGCGGAACTTATTAAGGGTGTTTGGGCTCAAATTCAAAGTATTTTGAATACCATTAATCATACCCTGATCCTATTGGTTACTGTCTTCGTAACTCTATTGGCTAGGAGTTTACGATATGAGGATACCGCAATGCATATGTTGTTGACGGTGATTGGGGTAAGTTCCACAGCAGATTCGAAAAATGTGCATCTAGAGATTGGTGCTTGACAAAACAATATTTAAAACCACTAAGGAAAGCTGTAAAGTCGGACGGGGCCGACTATATGATAGCCTTCACCACTTTGGGTATATTCGTCGCATTTTTAAAGGACCAGTAAAATGAAATTCGATCCTTAAACATGTCGTTCTGCAACCGATACTAAATTTTTCATTTGGTCAGATATAGAATCTATATCTAAATCTGAACCGATTTTCAGGAAACTTAACACACATCATTCTAGACCTAATTCATTACGCTGTGCCAAATTTCGTGCAAATCGAGAAATATATAGGGACATTTGTGTACCGTTTACATTAAATCGGACGAAAATTTATATGGGAGCTATATCCAAATCTAAACCGATTTTCAGGAAATTTAACACACATCATACTAGACCTAATTCATTACGCAATGCTAAATTTCGTGCAAATCGAAAGATATATAGGGACTTTGGTGTACCATTGGTGGTGAAGGGTATAAAAAGGCGGTTATTTGGGGACTACCCCAAAAAGCGGGTGAATATTAATACTTTTTATTAGGGAGATTTGTTATCATATACGACTACAAAATACCAAATTGCAGCGAATTCGGTTGAAAAACGAGCTCAAGAACACTAAAATACCGATAATTGGGGCTACCCTTATATGAAAGCTATCCGAAAAAATGACCCTATATTCATAATTTTGTGTAGAGATATTTAATACCCATCAAGAACCTAATGTACCATATTTCAGCGAATTCAGTTGAAAAACGCGCTCAAGAACCCCAAAATATTGGAAATTGGAGGTACCCTTATATGGGCGCTATCCCAAAAAATGGACCTATATTTATAATTTTTTGTGGAGAGATTTGATACCTATTAAGAACTCAAAATACTAAATTGCAGCCAATTCGGTGGAAAAATACGATCAAAATCTCCAAAATACTAAAAATTAGGAGGTACTGTTATATGGGTGGTACCAGAAAAAGTGGACCTATGCTTATAATTTTTTGTGGAGATATTTGGTACACAATAAGAACCCAATGTACTAAATTTCAGCGAATTCGGTTGAAAAACGCGCTCAAGAACCCCCCGATGAGTTACAAACGGAATGACAAAATTAATATACCCTCCATACTATGGTGGAGGGTATAAAAAATCCACGCCTTATGGTAGACCCTTAAGAATAATCATTAAAAAATCCACGCCTTATGGTAGCCGCTTAAAAATAATCTTTAAAAATTTACTCCTTATAAGCATCAACAAAATATTTTAAATTAATTTGTTCGTTATATGCAGTCGGTAACACCGTTCTCCCATGTGTTATTTGCCTTCTCTGGCAACACCATTGAATAACTGCTCTCTCTCTCTCCCTTCCATATATCTCTTTTTTCTCATGTGAAAGACATCCACTTCATTCTCTTTTCTTTTCTAATGGAGATAAACAAGCCCCAACCAGAAACACACACACGTACGCACACACACACCACACACACACACCACACACCATTATCTTCATCAAATTTTGTATCTCAAAGTCTGATGGTCAATCGTCAAAGAAAAGAAACGACAAAACGAAACAAAGTTAGTTTTGTTCAAACGGGTCGGGTGTAAAGTTCGTGTTCTTTCGTTCGTCTCCTCTCCTCTATCTCCTCTTAAGAATAATGGCGGCAAAAACCAAAAAGACAGCTAATGGTGCTGCGGCTTCTAAGCCCAAAAATCCCAAAGCTGGCACCTGGTCCACAATTCAAACCATTTTGAATACCGTCAATCATACTTTGATTATTTTTATTGCAATTTTTGTAACGCTGCTGGCCCGCAGCTTAGAATTCAAGAATACAGCCATGCATATGTTTCTGACGGTGGTTGGGGTAAGTAAAGGCAAAGAGAACAACAACAATAAACATTGAGATAAACACTGAGAGAGAGAGAGAGTCATGTGTTATTGATTGCACTGTTATGGTATGGTTGTGTGCACTTGTTGTAATGGGGAGAGTAATTATGGTGTGTGGTGGAGAACAGTATGACGTCATGATTTGTTTGTTATTGTTTCATGTGCTGGCATGTTTGCCGGTTACAACACGCAATGAGTTGAGAGATTACTGTATATGTGAGTGAGGGAAAGAGATAGACTGCTTGTGTGGAGTCTAATAGGGGAAATGTATGGGAATTTGTGATACGTACACGTGTGTATGGAGAGGTGTTTTTGTCGTTGTTGTTTGTTTGTTTACTGTCAAAGGTTATTTATTTTTTTACTGGTATCAATGGGAGACAGCAGCAGCATATGGTTTACAATTATGCTAATATTTAAACATATGGGTGTTTACATGAAATAAAAAAAAATAATATTTAAGGGAGCTAACCAAAGCGTGAATTATTTAAAAAATATATTTTTAAGGTGTAGTACTGAGTGAGTGAATTAAAAAAAACATTTTCAGGTACTATAAGAGGCATGGAATTTTAAAAATTGTTTTTTTTGAGGTAATATAAGAGGCGTGGATTTTTTAAAAATTATTTTTGAGGTACTATAAGAGGAGTGGATTTTTTAAAAATTGTTTTTTGGGGTACTATAAGAGGCGTGGGTTTTTTAAAAATATTTTTTTGAGGTACTATAAGAGGAAAGAATTTTTTAAAAATAAAAAATTAAAAATTTTATAAAAATTATTTTTGAGGTACTATAAGAGACGTGGGTTTTAAAAAAAATTTTTTTGAGGCTTATTGCCTATTAATTAAATTTTCCTAATCTATTGGTTGTGAAAAATCCCAAAATTGAAACATATAACAGTTTATAAATAGATTAAGTAAATATTGTAGGGTTTTTGATTAGAAATTGATAAGATAACAAAATACTAATATCATGATGAGTTGCTTAGCATAAGCAGCAGAGGTGGTGGGCACAGTGGGATATTTTTTGGGAAAAATAAAAAAAATATTTTTCAAATACAGGTTTTTAAACATTATATGAAATTATATAGGAAATATTCTTTGCAATCCGAACAATATATTTTTTTAGTAGAATTTTGAAAAATAACGGTAGTTTTTATACCCTCCACCATAGTATGGAGGGTATATTAATTTTGTCCGTTCCGTTTGTAACTCATCGAAATATTTATTTCCGACCCTATAAAGTGCATATATTCTTGATCAGCGTAAAATTCTATGACGATTTAGCCATATCCGTCCGTCCGTCTGTTGTAATCACGTTTCTTCTGAAGGAAATGAGATACGGTGCTGAAATTTTGCATAGAATTGTCTTTTGTCTGCAGGCAGGTCAAGTTCGAAGATGGGATATATCGGTCCAAGTTTAGGCATAGCTCCCATATAATGGTACCCCCCAATTTTCGGCATTTTGGGGTTCTTGAGTGCGTTTTTCAACCGAATTCGCTGAAATTTGCTGTATTGGATTCTTATTGGGTACTTAATGTCTCCAGAAAAAAATATAAATATAGGTCCACTTTTTTAGGGTAGCCCCCATATAACGGTACCTCTTAATTTTCAGTATTTCGGATGTTTTTTTCCACCGAATTGGCTGTAATTTAGTATTTTGAGTTCTTAATAGGTACCAAATTTCTCCACAAAAAATTATGAATATAGGTCAATTTTTTCGGGTAGCCCCCATATAAGGGTATCCCCCAATATTCGGTATTTTAGGGTTCTTGAGCGCGTTTTTCAACCGAATTCGCTGAAATTTAGTACATTGGGTTCTTATTGGGTACTAAATGTCTTCACAAAAAATTATAAATATAGGTCCACTTTTTCTGGTAGCCCCCATATAACGGTACTCCCAAATTTTCAGTATTGTGGGGTTTTTATCGTATTTTTCCACCGAATTGGCTGTAATTTATTATATTGAGTTCTTAATAGGTACTTAATCTCTCCAAAAAAAATTATAAATATAGTTAAATTTTTTCGGATATCCCCCATATACGGGTACCCCCCAATTTTCGGTATTTTGGGGTTCTTGAGTGCGTTTTTCAACCGAATACGCTGAAATTTGGAACATTGGGTTCTTAATAGGTTCCAAGTCTCCCCACAAAATATTATGAATATAGGTCCATTTTTTCGGATAGCCCGCATATAAGGGTACCCACAATTTTCGGTATTTTGGGGCTCTTGAGCGCGTTTTTCAACCAAATTTGCTGCATTTTGGTATTTTGTAGTCGTATATGGTAACAAATCTCTCTGCCAAAAATTAATAATATTCGCCCCCTTTTTTCGCATAGTCCCATAAATATAGCCCTTTTATACCCTACACAACTATGTTGTCAGGGTATTATAGCTTTGTGCAGCTCCAAGAGTTCGTAACGCCGCGAAATGCAATAATTAAAAAAAATTCCAAAATATATTTAAATTTCAAAAAATGTTGACCCTAGACCCAACTTTAAGTATACCGATCGTCATATTTCGACTAACTGAGTCGATCTAGACATGTGTGTCTGTTCGTCCGGCCGTCCATCCGTCCGTCTGTCCATTATAATTTGTAAACACGATACAGGCCACAGTTATGTATCAATCTTCACGAAATTTTGCATGTAGGATGGGTTCGGCCCAATGAAGATCTCTATTGTTTTTGGTAAGGATAACATTTAGGGGATGAAACGGACCAAATACGTAATTTTTGTCGGCTTTTCTGGTCGCTCCAGAGGTCGCAATTATGGCCCTAACATCGCAATTTTATACATGGAGAAGGGGTTCGGGCCAAAGAATGAGCATGCCTGTTTTGGTAAAGATCGGTAAATATTTAGCGGGTCAAATGGACCCCGACTTTTGTCTGAAAAATGACAAAAGTTGTATTCTATGGCGTATATATTTACCCCTGAAGGACATAGGCCCGATAAGTGGATACAAAATCCATTAGCACACTAGAGGGCTGAAATATTGAGCTGGTCGCTTTGAAATGTTCAGTAATGACCAAGGACAACGCTCATAATTTTCGGCGATGATCAGATAAAAATTTTGAGATGAAGTGGACCGAAAACTTCATTTTTTGAAGCGAATCTGGACAAGTACGAGTAATTAGAAGGGTTGTACAAAATATTAATAATATTTGTTGACCTCTAGTCGTTCAAGAGGGTGCAAATATCGCGAAATATTGCACAAGCTCAGAATATAGAACCACAGAAAGTCAAATTTTCGTGGAAGTTGTGTAGGGTATCATATGGTCGGCCTCGTCCGACTATACTGCTCCGCTAACTGGTTAAAATAAAAAAAAATTAAAAAAAAATCCTTGTGTGGATTTGCACGAAATTTGGCATAACGTACTGAAATGAGCCTACAGTGATGTTTGACAAGTTTCATGAAAATCGATCCAGATTTAGATATAGCTCCCATTTATATTTTCGTCCGATTTAATGTAAATGGTGCACCAAAGTCTCTATATATCTTTCGAATTGCACGGAATATAGCATAACGTCCTAAATTGAGCCTAGAGTTATGTCTGCCTAGTTTCATGAAAATCGATCCAGATTTAGATATAACTCTCATATATAGTTTCCTCCGATTTTATGTAAATGGTGCACCAAAGTCCCTATATATCTTTCGATTTGCACGAAATTTGGCATAGCGTAATGAATTAGGTCTAGAATGATGCCTGCAAAGTTTCATTAAAATCGATCCAGATTTTGATATAGCTCCCATATATATTTTCTTCCGATTTAATGTAAATGGTGCACCAAAGTCCCTATATATCATTCGATTTGCACGAAATTTGGCATGACGTACTGAATTGAGCCTAGAGTGATGTCTGCCAAGTTTCGTGAAAATCGGTTCAGATTTAGATATAGCTCCCATATATATTTTCGTCCGATTTAAGGTAAATGATGCACCAATGTCCCTATATAACTCTCGATTTGCACGAAATTTGGCACAGCGTAATGAATTAGGTCAAGAATGATGTGTGTTAAGTTTCGTGAAAATCGGTCCAGATTTAGATATAGCTCCCATATATAGTTTCGACCGATTTAATGTAAATGGTGCACCAAAGTCCCTTAATGTCTTTCGATTTGCACGAAATTTGGCATGACGTACTGAAATGACACTAGAATGATGTCTGTCAAGTTTCGTGGAAATCGAAAAAAAAAATATTTTTTTATGAAAAAAAATATTTTTTTTTGTAAAAATTTTTTTATTAAAAATTTATTTTATAATTTTTTTGTATTTTTTTCAGTGGCACTTTATGGCCGCCGAAGCCCTGATGTCCCATTACCCCCACAACCCCGTAACCAGCAAGCTGTCCCACCGCAACAAATCCCGTTTCCATGGCCTGCTGCAAATCATTGGTGGTTCAATGGCCATTTATGGGGCCGCAGCTAAATTCCTATCTACGGAAGAGCATTTTACCACCTGGCATGGAAAGATTGGTATGTCCAAAATATTTTCAATTTTTTGTTTTTTAATTTTTAAATGCCCAATTTTTATTTCTGCTTAGGTGCCGCTTCAACCTTCCTGTGTTTGGCCAGTCTTTTGGGTGGCACCGTCAACTTCTTCCAACCCAAATTTGCCCATAAAGTCTATAGCCAGGCGGAGATTAAATATCGTCATAACCTCTTTGGCATATTGGGATTCATTGTGGCCATGACCACCATCATTTTGGGTTATTATACTCCATTCTTTATTAAATATGTGGATAATAGTGCCATTCCCGCATTTGTGTTGGCCAGTGTTTTGGTATTGCTATTTACCCTGATTGGACCGGTCACATCGTTGTTGGACAAATTGAAACACAAGAAGAGGAAATAGATTGGAGATGCATATTTTTTTTTAGAGAATATTGAGGCTAAAATCGAAGAATTTTGAAATTGTAATAAAAACAAATATTGAATGAGAATAGAAAAAGAAGTCAATGAACGTTGGTTAAATTTTTTTACAGAGACCAAAATGTTTTTTTTTTAATGGAAACCCCAAGTTGAAATAATTTTCGAAGCCATATCTTAACCGCAATATTGACTCAAAATAAATTTTTATTGGTTTTAATGTTGAGAGGAGACAATGAAATAACAAAAAAATATTCTTTTATAACTAAGAAAATATATCCCGCAAATTGTCTTCAATTGGCATCAATTCTCTTGACTTCCTGGCTTCAGAGGATACCTAAAGGAAGAAAGTGAAAAATTTTCAAAACCAAACTCCTCGAAAAAAATTTAAAAAAATTCCATTAACTTACCGCTGCCTTGGGATGTACACCCCATAATTTGCCACCCTTTGCCTTAGCCTCCAAGGGCTTGGCAATTATTAAACAAATAATTATTATAAAGAAAATATAACTCCAATACGGCATGGTCAGCTTTTTAAGAACTGAACTCAGTCGTGGTAACACGATGACTCGTAATTATAGAAAAACAACCGGAGCTGTCATTTTCAAATGACTAAGACTGGCGAATGAAAACAAAAAAATGTGTAAATAAAGGTGATTCAGTAGCTAAGGTCTAACAAAACCGCAATGAATTAAAAATGGAAATATTATAAATAATATAGAGAAAGGTTAAATGTAGAATATTTTTTTCCGCACAACCCCCTCCCCCACATCCGCTAAAAATAAGGTAGGGTAGATAAATGTGTCATCTAGTTGAAGAAATGAATGAAGAAAAAAAAACCCTATTTTTTAGCCATATTATATAATTAAATATTTGAGTTAATGATTTCAGTTGTTCGAAGACCCATAGTAGAATTCGATGAGGAATATTTTTTTCATTGACATCGAGCCTCTAAAATGAAGCTTTGTGGACATTTTGCCAATTTTTGAAAACATAACCTCAAAAGTGCCATAGGAAATTTCTTTATTTTTATAACTAAATTAAACTCAATATTATTCCGCTAAATATTAAATATACTAAATTTTTCCGTTCGGAGACCTATAGTAGAATATGATGAGGAATACATTTTTCATTGACATCGAGCCTCTAAAATAAAGCTTTGTGGGACATTTGACAAGTTTTTGAAAACATAACCTCAAATGTTGCCATAAGAAAAATTGTTATTTTTTATCTAAATTAAACCCCATATTATTCCGCTAAATATTGTATATACCAATTTCTTGTGTTCAGAGACCCATAGTAGAATTTTGCGAGGAATAAATTTTTCATTGACATCAACCCTCTAAACCGAAGCATTATTGGACATTTAGTCACTTTTTGTAAACATAACCTCAAAAGTAGCCATTAGAAACATTGCTATTTTTTATCCAAATTAAACCCTATTTTATTCCGCTAAATATTACATAAATCAATTTTTTGTGTTCAGAGACCTATAGTAGAATTTGATGAGGAATACATTTTTCATTGACATCGAGCCTCTAAAATGAAGCTTTGTGGGACATTTTGCTATTTTTTGAAAACATAACCTCAAAAGTTGCCATAAAAAGTTGTTTATATCAAAATTAAACCCCATATTATTCCGCTAAATATTAAATATACTAAATTCTTCCGTTCGGAGACTTATAGTAGAATTTGATGGGGAATACATTTTTCATTGGCATCAAACCTCAAAACTGAAGCATTGTGAGACATTTTGCCACTTTTTGAAAACATAACCTGAAAATTGTGCAACAAGAAATTCGAATGTATATTGGCATATTAAACCCGATATTATATTGTGAAATATTCTATCTAACGATTTCCTATATTTTGTGACCCATAGTAGAATTTGATGAGGAATACATTTTTCATTGACATAAAGATTCTAAAATCAAAACTTATGGTAGAAATTGTCACATTTTAAAAATATAACCTCAAAAGTTGCCATAAGATTTTTTTATTTTTATATCTAAATTAAACCCCATATTATTCCGCTAAATATTACAGATATTAAGTTTTTGTATTCAGAGACCTATAATAGAATTTGATGAGGAATACATTTTTCATTGACATCAAACCTCCAAACTGAAGCATTATGGGACATTTTGCCACTTTTCGGAAACATAACCTCAAAAGTTGCCATAAGAAACCTTGTTATTTTTAAATCAAAATTAAACCCCATATTATTCCGTAAATATTACATATATCGATTTCTTATGTTCAGAGACCTATAGTAGAATTTCATAAGGAATATTTTTCTCATTGACTTCATGTCCCTAAAATGAAGCATTCCAGGACATTTTGCCAAATGTTAAAAACATAACCTTACAAGTGCCAAAAAGTTTATATATCCAAATTTAATCCGATATTATAGCAATAAATATTGAAACTATCGATTTCTTTTGTTCAGAGGCCTTTAATGAAATTTGATAAGGAATATTTTTTTCATTGACATCAAGCCTCTAAAATGTAGCATTACTGGACATTTTGCCAAAGTTTAAAAACATAAGCTTAAAAGTGTCAAAAGAGACATACTCGTGTATATGCCCAAATTTAAACCCTACATTTTACCATTAAATATTATAACTACCGATTTTTTGTGTTCAGTGACCTATAGTGAAATTTAATGAAGATTATTTGTTCTCTTAAGATCACCCTCCTAAACTGTAGCAATGCAGGACAATTTGTTCCATTTCGAAAAACATAACCTTAAAATTATTAAAAGTGGATCATTAATATATATACCCAAATTAAAGCCAATATTACACCGTTAAGTATTATATAGAACGATTTATTATATTATGTGACCTATAGCGAAATTTTATGAGGAATATTCCCTTCATTGCCATTATCCTTCTAAAATGACGTTTTGTGGGACATTTTGTCATGTTCTCAAAACATAACCTCAAAAGTGGCAAAAGATAAATTTTAATTTATATACACAAATTAAACCTGATATAATATGGTTAAATATTGCTCCCGCCGATTTCTTGTGTTCGGACACCTATAGTGAAATATGATGAGGAATATTTTTTCCTTTAACTTCAACCCCCTCAAATAAAGGATTAAATTACATTTGGGCTATTTTTAAAAACATAACCTTAAAATAACAAAAAAATAAATTTTTATTTATATGCCAAAACTAAACTCGATATTTTCCGTTAAATATTACATATACCGATTTCTTGTGTTCAGAGATCTATAGTAGAATTTGATGAGGAACACATTTTTCATTAACATCAGCCCACTAAACTGAAGTTTTGCGGGACATTTTGCACCATTTCAAAAACATAACCTAAAAATTGTCAATATGAAAATTAGAAATTATGTAGTCAAATTGATGCCGTTATTACATCATTAAATATTATAATTTCCGATTCCTTGTGTTCAGTGACCCATAGGAACACTTTTTCTATTGACATCATGCCCTTGAAATGAGGGTTTGCGGGACATTTTGCACCATTTCCAAAACATAACCTAAAAATGGCCAATATTAAAATTATAACTTATGTACTCAAATTGAAGCCGTTATTATACTGTTAAATATTATACCTAACGATTTTTTGTGTTCAATGACCCATAGTAAAATTTGATGAGAAACACTTTTTCTATTGACATCATGCCCTTAAAATGAAGGTTTGCGGGACATTTTACCACATTTCGAAAACATAACCATAAAATTGCCACAATAGAAATTCTGATTAATTTATCTAAATTAAAACCAATATTATAACTATTAAATATTACCTATACCGATTTCGTATACTCAGTGACCCATAGTGAAATTCGATGCAGAATATTTCTTTCATTGACATCATGCCCCTAAAATAAAGCATTGTGGGAAATTTTGTCACATTTTAAAAACATAACCTTTAAATTGTCATTAGAGAATTTGTAATTAATTTTAATCCGTTACTACACCGTTAAATACCATACCTACCGATTTTATTTCTTCAGTGACCCATAGTGAAATTTGATGCAGAATATTTCTTCCATTGATCTTATACCCTTAAAATCAAGCATTATAGGGAATATTGTCACTTATTAAAAACATAACCTTAAAATTGTCATTAGAGAATTTCTAATTTATGTGCCCAAATTACATCCGTTATTACACCATTAAATGCTATATTTACATATTTCATTTCTGCAGTGACCTATAGTGAAATTCGATGAGGAATATTTTTCCAATTGACATCGTGCCCATAAACCCAAGCATTGTACGAAATTTTGTCACCTTTTGAAAACATAATCTTAAAATTGTCATTAGAGAATATTTAATTTATATGCCCATATTAAATCCGTTATTACACCGTTAAATACAATACCTACCGATTTCATTTTTTCAGTGACCTATAGTGAAATTCGATGAAGAATATTTTTTCCATTGACATTATTCCCCTAAAATAAAGCATTGTGGGAAATTTTGTCACTTTTTGAAAACATAACCTTAAAATTGTCATTAGAGAAGTTGTAATTTATATGCCCATATTAAATCCGTTATTACACCGTTAAATATTATACCTAGCGATTTCATTTCTTCAGTGACCCATAGTGAAATTCGATGAGGAATATTTTTTCCATTGACATCATGCCCTTAAAACCAAACATTATAGGGAATTTTGTCACATTTTAAAAACATAACCTTAAAATTGTCATTAGAGAATTTGTAATTTATATGCCCATATTAAATCCGTTATTACACCATTAAATACTATACCTACCAATTTCATTTGTTCAGTGACCCATAGTGAAATTCGATGAGGAATATTTTTCTCCTTGACATCATCCCCAAAAAAATTGAATTTTATACGGGAATTTTCTCAATCAAAAAATAAATCACATTTCCTTTATTTTCATATTTTTTGAATCCGTCTTTACAATTTTATGTACCTCAACATTTTTACAAAACCAGTACAATATAAAAATTGTGAAAATAATTACAAA